GGCGAGCCAGTGTCGAATACACCATCTCCACCCCCACTCGTCGGGAAAACCACCAACAGCATTCCTTATCCCCGCATGTCGATCGGATATAATCGTAATATCTTCCCGCTGTGTCACGTGTTCGTGCAGTTGGTCAAAGAACCAAGCCCAACTTAAGCTGTTCTCCCCTTCCACTAATGCAAATGCAAGCGGGAAAATCCGCCTGTTTCCATCAACGCCAGTGGCAATTAGAAGATATCCTCTGTACTTCCCAGTAAGGAAAGTTCCGTCAACCTGAATAAAAATTTAGGATATAATTAGTATGAAATATACTTAACAGCAAATAATACAAAATTTAAAACCGGAACTAGTTGGTAAAATACCTGAATAACCGGTATGCAGAACCCAAAACCGTCAATGCATGGTTTAAAAGCCCAAAAAAGACGATGAAACATCAGCTTATCCTGTACTCGAACTTGATCCTCAGTGTATACATTGTTGTATACTGGGACGAAAACAGTCCCAGGATTGGACTCCTCCATTGCTCCCATAAGTCTAGGGAGTAAAGCATACGAATCCTCCCAATCACCATACACCTCAGCCATGGCTTTCTGCTTACCATGCCATGCTTTTTTGTACCTTATCGTGTAAGAATGTCGATCCTTCACCTCTGCCATGATAGCTTTCACCTTGATATCTGGTTGTGCTTCTATAAGGTGCTTAATAGTTCTCCCAACCTTCTTTGCTTTTAGTTGCCTGTGATCTTGGGAAAGTATAGAAGAGGAGCATGTGTGGATCGTCTCAGCTTTGCGAATCACCCAAGAACCCTTTCTCTTCATATTTGCAGCCCGCAGTTGCCACGTACAACCCTCTGCATCATGCTTGCATATGACATGTAGTTGTTTACTGTCAGAATATTTTACCTTCCACTCGAAATTGCGCCTCAACGCCTCTTCTGTAAAAGCATCCTGCACAGCGTCTTTCGATGTGAACGCCATACCCACCTCCAAATTGGCCGTCGGATTGTACACTGGCATAGGGACAAAGTCGGGGGGATCATTCTGACTATGTAAAAATTGAGTTGGAACCTGTGTGTAATATGGCGTGGGTGCCTCACGAAATGCCGCCTCATCCTCGTTATCATCAGTATCTTCCTCCTCCTCGCTCACTGATATCAAATCTTCCTCAGTATCCTCGTCGCTCGACTCGAATGGATAGCTCGGGCTAGAAGGATCAACATGACCACGATCACCAACATCGTCCTCTCGCTCATGTGAAGTACGCCCTGATCGAATGGTATTCTCGATTCCATACCACTCTGGCCCCCAAGCAGGCCATTGAACACCATCGGCCTCAACAAATGGGGCTGGTTTAGGAGGTTGCGAGTATTGGTCCCATCCTGCACTACTCGATCCACCGTAGTTGATTGAACCACCACCCTCCCCGTAACCTCCTGTAAAACCACCGCCTTGGTAGTTGCTCGAACTACCACCCCATTCGTACCCTCCTGCAAAACCATCATCATAAGAATACTGGTGAGAATGAGATTCACCGAGCGCCTCGGTCTCAACATACACCTCTGCAAGCCGGACTTGGTTATCGCTTAGGAACTGTAACATCATCATAACCGCGTCATCATCGTTTATGACAACTTCTTGGAACACGACCCCGCCAGCACTCATGTCTGGATACCAGTAAGTAATTTTGCCAAGTCTGGTCTGTCCGCTCGTACAAACCCTTTCTGCACAAAGATCACAGAGTTCTTGAAAATTGAATCGGGATTCAATTTTCAGCATAATGGATTCGCCGTCCTCATAATCAATGCCTATGTCAGAGTTTGTCACCCTTCCATTCCACCGAATAGTAAGATGAAACTTCTTGAATTTACCCATATCTACAATTTACAATAAGTATCTATTAGCTTAAAGACAGTAAAATTAACCAAAATCATATTGTACAACTAATATTAAATCATACCATAACTAACGAAAATAAATTCAACTAACTAACAACAACATAATACGAAAATTAAATCATACTATAACTAACGAACATAAGTTCAACTAACTAACAACAACATAATACGAAAATTAAATCATACTATAACTACTAAAAACATAATTAGACTATAATACGAAAAGTCTCAACATACCGAAAAATTTCTGTTCTGTGTATTATGCTCGATTTTGCCTGCTGAAATTTGAAGAAAGGGGAGTGGTTATGTTTTTACAACTGCTGGTAGTGTGCAATTTATAGGAAAATCTGCCCACTATTCACCGTTTTTGTCGAAAACGGTGAACACTATCACCACGTTTGTCTCAAACGGTGAATAGGTGGTAGCTGCGACCTAATTTTGACCTACCAGGGGTGGGAAACGTGGGAAAAATCACCGCGTTGATTGACAACGATGAATGGGTTCACCGTTTTTGACCAAAACGGTGATGTATTCACCGTTGTAAACTAACGCGGTGAATACTTCACCGTTTTCATGTGAAACGGTGAATACTTCACCGTTTTTGTTTAAGACGATGAAGCATTCACCGTTTTGGTCAAACGCGGTGATAATCTTCACCGCTTTTGTCTAAAACGGTGATGCTCAAACATGTGTACTTTGGGAAATTTTTTTATAACTCATGTATTTTGGGAATTTTTTTTAAGAACGTGTGTACAGTGGGATTTTTTCCCACAACAAAAAGCTAGCTAGCAAATGGATATTTTATCTAATTTGGTTTTAATTGTTATATATTTTCATGTAAATGGAGATATCTTGTTAATTATGTGTTGGGTAACAAATTCATACCATCGCAAATCCATCGATTGAATCTAAAAGCATGTAGCATCCCCATATATGCTTGTATTAACCCAATTAGATGAGAGGACATTTGTGTTGTTGTATGGAACACCAGTAGGTAAATACTAGCTTAGCTAGAGCTGTTCACTTTTCTGTGTTTTTGGGTTATGGGTCACACACATAATTTTTCATATATAATGTTATTGGAATAAATGAACGTATGTATATATATTAACTTGTACTTTTGTTCGTATTATCTTTAATGCAGAATTGCAGATTATCAACTGGATGTGGGAAGCTAAGTATTTGGGCACATTGTACGTATTAGGAAGAAAGCGTAGTTGATTTTAGAACTAAGGTAAGAGACTGAATGTATCTTGGATATGCACATGAAAGCGGATCAAATATTTTGGCATGATCCCGCATGTGTATGATGACATATTTAGGCATAGACTATTATTGCTAACAGATAGTGCATAGTTCTAGGAATAGAGCTATTTTTGAACACTACAGATGTCATCAGATGTCGAAGACTACCATGTATAATCTTATGTAATTTGAAGGATGATATGTATTAGTACGTTATTATGGAAAAGAGATGATGTTGTATCTATGAATGATTTCTATGCAAAATGTGCAGAATCAGGAGTTGTATTCTATCAGGTTCTTTGGGGACGAAAACTGTCGTAGCAAAAATTCTAGTGAAACAAAGCCATGATAATTTTTCGTCGCTAAAACATTTTTTTGCAATAAATCGATGTCGTCGCCAAAGGTACACCATCCCAGTCTGATTCAGCGTCAAGCAATTACGTCGCAAAAACGTCATTTTCAGCGAGGATGTAATTTCGTCGCAAAAGGTCCTACTTATGAGCGACGAGCATGTCGTCGCACTTAATACCTTTAGTGACGCAAATGAGCCGTCGCAGAAAGACTATGGCGACGAAAAATACACGCCTAGAAAAATGTTTTTGCGACGGATGGTTCGTCGCAATACATAGTTTTGCGACGGAAGCTTGCGTCGCTGTTTGTTCGTGCTTTTGCGACGATTCGTATTTTTGGCGACGACCGAAGTTTTTTCGTCGCTCAAGCTCTTAGGCGACGCGGTATACGCAACGAAGGGCCGTTGTCTAAAGCGTCGAATTGTTTCGTCGCCAATACTAGAAGCGACGAATTTTGGACCTTTAGCGACGAAATCTGGCGTCGCTAAAGGTCCAGTTTTTTGTAGTGTTACAACCTACTCTATTCTTCAAATTTGTTATAAAGTTTACATGTAATTTAAACAATTTAAAGAGTTGAGAGGGGCTATTGATTTTGACTCAAGTCACAAGTAATAAGCTAGGAAACTCATGAACATACGTTGTGGCAGGGAGAGTTTTTGTCCCAATGATTTTTACCCCCAGGAAAACAAAAATTAACCCTCTGTTAATTTTCTTCTTCTTTCCTGAAGTAGCTATCCCACGCTTGCAAAGCGTACCTTTCGCACGTTGGCAAGATGGAAAAAAAATTGGAAACAAAAGCAAGCAGAGGTGCGTGGGGGAAGTGGTGTCAGGAGTGGGCCAAAAGATTTGTGGGCCGAGCTGACGAGTCAGGTCAAGTGGGCCATAGAACTGGATTATTGCTTGTGGCTCGTGCTAGGTTAAGGCAAAGGTAGGCTATAACCCTCATGGACTCACGTGAACCCGTTCCTTTTTCCTACCTTTCTTTCTTCATTTTCATTTTCATCCTTCTCTTTGGTCCGTCGCTTTCTCCTCTTTTCATGACACACAAAAGCACTTTTTTTTCTTCTACTTTCAGGGGAAATTATACACTACAAAGAGGAAAAGAAAAGAATGAATTCTATAAGGAGGGTTTTGGATCCGGATTAGATTCTGGGCCACCATGGTTTGGCTTGCTCTCTCTTTCATGGTAACAAAGTCTGACCACTCTTGCATAAGATAAGTATTGGGTGCACGAGAGGTAAATCATGGCAGTTCTTTTTTTCATGAATGTGATGGTAAATCATGACATTTCACTAAGTAGGGTGTTCAAGGATGTTACTTAATGGTCTAATCTATCGTCCAACGTGATTCACAGTCTGTAATATAATCGAAGCGGTGCATTTTGTATTACCTGTATGTTTGATCGAAATACTATCCTCTATGACATATTGAAATCAAATGGTACACGTACTCCGTTAAATATTTTTTTGTAGCGGTTCTGTGAGCTTCACCGCTAACGTGAATGCACAGTGGACATCTAAATTGTTTTCTTATATGGTCAGACATTTATTACGTCACCCTCTTACTTTCTTCTTCTTCTAAATTATATATAAGAGTCACGGTATACGAGGTTTGCTCGTGTCTTGGTATATTGTGACACCACAAAACCCGGTTTGTCACGAGCAATTACCATCTTGACGGGACAAAGAAAATCAAACTTACGATTCAAACACTAGACTTACTAAAATGTTGTTGCCTGTTGGTAACCCTACTTGTCACCCCTTCAACAATAAGTAACCCTACTGTTCTTTCTTAGGTCCAACATTTTCCTCTTTATCGTCCCACCTTGCACTTGGAGAATAGACCTTTTACATGATAAAAAGAGAATGAGTGATAGAAATTAAGTAGGCCAGATTGGGATTGTTTTTGTGTGTCCTGGGCTCCTGTCTTCTTGAAGAAGATGGTGTTGTGCTCACACTGATTTTTGGGCTTTTGTTTTTCGGCCTTTGGGAAATGGGAACTCGACCAAAAGGAAAAAGGCCCTCATTATCATTGCACGTCTAGGACTAGAATAGAACTATTCCTAACATTTCTGCAATTGAAGATGAAGATCTTCAAGATATATATGCAACGAAGTATCTTAAGAGGACAATGGCGATTTAATTTGTGGACAAGTTGGCTATGTGTGAAAGTTTGTAATGATCAATATATTGTGTTTGAAACGCATGGTCATAAATAATAGCAATTAATTTAAACACAATATATAACAGGCATGCACAAACTTTAAATCCACGGATTAGATATGATTTGAGTGGGTGTCTAAGGGAATTGTACCACTCCATCATGAAGTTAATCAAGAAGATGTTGTTTATATGCATTCACGCCTTTTGGAATAAGTCGCTAAATTAAGTTCTCTCTTAGACAATGATCTCATGGGTTAGGATTTTGCATCCAGATGGCAAAAAGAACTCAATATTTGGGTATTGCCCAAACTCAACTTATTATGGATCAAATTGGATTTGTGTAATTTTACTTTTGGCCGGATAAATGACTAACTTTTTAGTTTGGGTTTAAATTGGACTCATACTATTGGATACCAAAATAAAACGGATATAACCCGAATGGACTGCTCTAGTGTTAATGTGGGGATGATAACATTCATCACAACATGGGTTCGATCCTTGAGGCCAACAACCAATATTATAGGTGTGATTAGGTCAAAGGTAGTTAATAAGCCGTCAATATTGTCCGTCTGTGTACAATAATCTCGAACCAAGTAAACTATTTGGATCCGGCCCAAATGAGAGTTAAATTACATAATGAGTCGGGACATTGTCATTTCTAATTTTGCAAAGTGTGTTCAATTATATTAGTGGGTCACATCCTATACTATTACTAACTCAACTCAATTAAAGTCTAACTCTATTCTACACTTAGACCAGAAAACATCATCATTGCAAGTTTCAATCCATTGTGTCGGGGACTAACTAAACATGATCATTAGGATTGCGATCAAACAAGACTCATCTTGGGAGGATCAACAATATGAAAAAGAAAATCAAAGGGAACATCAATTCACTAAATTTGTAGCTACATGCTAACGTTGAAAGCGGAAATCGGATTCCAAATGTCTACACAAAAGCATATGCAAAAACTTGCCTTTGTTATTGTATTGATAGAGGAAAGCAAGATCTATAGCTCTTAGTTTGTTCGTACTGGAAATGAAGAAGAAAAACCACATAACATTGTCGTTTATATTTCGAGATACATATGTAAATTGCGGAACCAATCATAGTTCGAACCGATTGACAATAATACAAAGGATTCAAGATTTCTTCTAAGAAATCCGAACCACACAACAATGACTACATAGCTCTTTCTTCTGTTCTTCTTCACTAGGCTCCAAACTCATCCATTCACAGCTCGCGACTGACGTGTCGAACATGTAAACTTTAGATCTTATAAGAGATGGCTCCGCAGCCGTCCGATACCCTCCCAAGAAATAGAGTCGAGATCCAATAGGCGCCATAGTGAGATATACCCGTTGAGTAAGGGGATTGCAAGTTCGCAGGTGCGACTTATCCATAACATTCCACATGTTCATGTCTCCATCGTACGATTCGATGTGTCCCTTCCACGGTTTCAAACAGTCACCAGAGCTGAACAACGTCTCGTTGACCGCCACGATCTGGTTAGGCGGCACGTCCAGCTGCCACATCCCCACCACCACATGCCACTTGCCCGTCCTCGTGTCGTACACCTCGGCCGAGCTCCGCTCCAAGATGAACGACTCTGTCACCTTACCGTTATTATGCCGATCTCCTCCACGAGAGGCGAACCCACCGATCACATAGATCTTCCCTTGCCACGTCACTCCTGCGCACTTGTACCTCAACACGCTCATGTCAGGCAGCGGATTCCACTCGTCGCACACCGGATCGTACACCTCGCCCGACGACACCCCGTGTGTGCCGGCCACGTCGAACCTCCCGCCAGCCACGTAGATCCTGCCGTCGCACACTGTGCACGCGAAGCAGCAACGTGGTTGGGACAAGGGCCCGCACTGGGCCCACATGTCGCGCCCCACGTCGTACCGCAGGACGGTCGACCGGACCTCGAGGTCCACCTCGACAAATTCTTCATCGTCCAGTCCATCCTCCAAGCGGGCCGTGGGCCTCTCCTTGCGGACCACACGCCCGCCGATGAAGTAAATGGACTCTCCCAACGAGACCATGGCAAAGTCCTTGAGTACGCAGTTTGGGCCCAATCCGGGTATCGAGCCCACATGGGTAAACCCGTTGCTTGACGGGTCGTAATACTCGACCCAATTGGAGGTTGTGTCGTTGCAGAACGAGGCGTAGATGCGGTGGTCCGACGGCGGCGGCTGAGAGGGCGCCGCCGCCACCCGGCGAGACCGCGACAAAGGACGCATCGGAGAAGGGACGGAGCCCATTCTAGCTTTCAAAGTGAATTTGACGGTGGGGTGGGATTGATCTTAATTTGTTACGTTGCACAAATGTGATGTGCGAAACAAATGTGATTTGGTGATGAAGCAATTAGGAATGGCGAGGGGGAAGATATAGAGGAAGCGCGGCGGAGGAGACGAAAATGATTGGGCTTGTTGGCATCGAACGGTTGCAGAATTGGCAACCAAATCTTATCGATGAAATTTGACCGGAGGTGAAATCTAGGCTGGTCAATTTTGTCACTGTCGCCGGCGATAATCTTTCGATGATGTCACTGTGAGAGTAGGATAAGAGCAGTACTCTAAATGGTCACTTAAGAAACGTATAAGAGCTTCGTCAATCTTAGTTGGGTTCACCGTCGGAAAGGGAAGGCAGAATATTTCAGCGGTGGTTTCGAAGACCGCGGTGGATCTGAAAAACCGGCAAAATTGCGCAACAGACGAAACAAGGAACATCTTGATCTTGTTTCTTTAAACTTGCCAAGTTGTTTTTTTTTCTCCTTTTTACCAAATTGTACAACGAATGAAGATATTATAATGTATGCTCCGATTGAGCATTTCGTGGGAATGATCTTGCCGAAGTCTTTCCCTTTCGATGTTTTTTCTTGTTCGTTTGGCGGAAGCAATTTTTCTTGTTCTCTTTGGTCGGGTATATCGAAGTTTTAAGCTTTAGGTAAAACACAAAAACAAGGTTGGAAAAGGTAACCTAAGCAACTAACCAAAACTACGGTCAATAATCGGATTAGTATTGGTATGAGAGACAGAGTAAGAACTTGAATGCTACTTTTGATGGTGATGAGTGATGGATGTGTTTTTGTTTTAAACATAGACTGATTGTTGGTTTCCATCTCATTTTGGTTCGAATTCATTAAGTAGAACCTAATGATAAAAACAATATTATCTTTATTTTAAAAAAATTGTAAAGTTAAACCATAAGTAGGTTATGTACCTTGAACCGTCTATTATAATTAAAGTCGACATAATTACAACGGAAAGATTTATCTGAAAAGTATCTCGTTTCTCGTCATCGACCAAGACAAAGTAACAATTTGAAAAAGTAATACATGTCAAAGACGAGCACTTCTACTGTGCTATATATCATTGGTGCTTTAATGTACAACTTGAAGTTGTACAATAACATTAAATGTATAAGTTTAGGTTGTACCATAAAGGAATTTGTATCATTATGTTATGATACAACTTTACAACTTGAAGTTGTACCATCACATAAGGTACAAGTTTAAGTTGTACCATAAAAGAATTTTTACAAAAAGTATAGGTACAATCTGAAGTTGTACCATAACGTTAAATGTACAATTTCAAGTTGTACCATAAAGACAAAAAACCTATAGCACCAATGCTAATCTTTATAAAATAGTTACCCTAATTCCCGCTAAAGCTGGTAATTTGAAGCTTCATCTTTTTTGGTAAAATTAAAGTTTAAAATTTTAATTGATATTTGAGTTTACAAATCAAATTCATGAATTCATATAATCCAATTCATAAACCAATTTGTCGTATTTAAGTAACACTGTAAGAACCAGTCCAGTTAGATTTGGTGCAACTTTACATAGCTGACGAAGCCCACGCCCATTTTGGGTTTGGCTGGCTACAAGTGCGGCCCATTGTATAACCAGAAGCCCATTTCGGGGCCCGGCAAACATGGCTTTGATTAACCAAATATGAATGACCAGGCAAGAAGACCCACTGAAAATCGAGCGCACAGATTTCTCATCCTCTACAAATTTTGTTCACAGAATGTAGCATACGACAACTTGGATAATTTTGTGCACTAAATTGGAGTGAATCCACCTCACTTTTCATACATGTTTCATTCAAAATGTTGGTGAGACGAAGCAATCGTATCAAATAAACGAGATTTTATTTTATTCAATTTTTAAATGGGTCAACTTATTCAAACCAAATAATTTAATGACTCAGTCCATTATCATTCTCTCTCTATGATCCTTAATCTAACAGATACATATTCTTCAAAAAAACGTTTTAAGACATTAACAAATAGCCGATCACAAGAAAATATTGTAACTTTCGAGAACTTAAGAAGAGTTAAACAAATGTGGTACCTTCTTAATTGCCACTTTCATTAATCTTTCACTGAAATAGTAAGATTCAAGAAAGAAGCAACCTGAAAGTCCAGAGAACACACTACTTCCCTTTGGGTACAAGAAGATGGGATGGAAACCTCTCAAGTCATAATCTTTATGACGAAGACCACCAAAATCTTGGTCACTTGACCTAAGATAGCTACTTTCAAATCTCAAGGGAATCAATCATATGATGTATGTTATGGGGTTAGGTTTTTCACTTTTTAGTTTTTATCCATACTAGTCCAAACTGTTTTTGTGTATGTCTATACATCCATCAAGCAATAGCTTTTCTTTCACCTTATCTCACTCTCAACTCACAATCATCATCAATCATGACATCACAAGAAAAGAGAGGTAGTAGGAAAAGAAAAGACTAAAGAGTCTCTATTGTTGGATTGCGTGTTTTGTGACATTGGTCTCCTTGGAAGCATGTAGCGTTGTTGACGAATAAACTGTTATCGCGTATGCGTTCAATGATCATTAGTGGGTTAGCAGTTAGCACAGTCTGACGGTGTATAGTCTCATTCTTAATTATGCTGAAATTCAAAGGACATGAAAATCACACTTATCTTCGTCACCAAACTTTCATGTTTCATATCAATCAATTGCTAAACTTTAAACTTTCAATGGCCCAGTATAATTATTATTTTACTGTTCATCCTTATTATGTTTTTTCCTAAATTAAACATGTAAACACATCATTCATTTTAATGGCGAGAAAAATCATACTCGGTGCTGACACATATTACTCATTTTAACTCGTATTCAATTCAAAAACCAAACTCAAACACTCAAACCATTTCCCAACCAAAAACCATGTTAATTGCTTTAGGTTGATGGTTATGCTGTGAGTACTTGTTTTGCTAGCTGTTTCCAAATTTTAAATGAAAGTTAATTTGTTGCAAACCAAAGCTTCGTAAAAGATTTGTAGTTTTCTCCAAAGCTTATGGTCAAACAACCCAAAAACCCACTAGAATGTAGCAGATTCCAGAGAACCAAAGTTAAGCAGGAAATCTCTTGTCGACCCATCAAATAGTAGAAAAGGAAGAGCAGGCTAGAGCTAAGATGGAAGGGGTTAATGACCAAAAATATTTTTTTTTTTCATTTACCACGAATATAGTGGTTTAAAAAGTATTTTGCTAGCATATCGTGTTTTAGAGAATAGAAAGCGAGTTAGCGTGAGTAGCGAAAATAAGCTGCAATACAAGTTAAATATGCGTCGGATTGAGGCGGATCCGCTTTTTAAACCTTTTTAATTTTGAATGGACGGAGCCACGCAGTCTCACGCGAGATTTGCTCCACCTTGCCCACCCACTCCAGCACTATATAACAAGAGGTTTCCTTTCATTTGCTAGCTAAGCGAAGAAGAGCTCTGCTGGTTGCTGCAAAGATGGAAATAGGTACACATTTAATTTTTTAATTATATTCTTAAAATGCTAATATGATTTTGTTTAGTTACTAATTAGTGAATTTGTTTTTTTTATGTAATGATTTTAGACAATTTAAACTAGTCGTTTGGTGGAAATCGCATATAGTAGAGGACAATTTGGGCGTCATTTTGTTGGTGGTAGAAGCTTTCAGTAGACAGTTCCATGCAGGGTGACATATCACTAATTTTGTGAGAATCTAATTCCGAGGATACAACGTAATGACATAGCAGTACAAGATAGTGATATGCTCAAATGTTTCACTTACAAACTTCCAAAATAGCAGAAATAGTGTTCTATTTCATTATGCGATGTCTATTGTGGATGATGATAGCTTGAATGTTCTTTTCAATTTTATGGCACAAAATCATTAATGTTTGGGTGCTGAGAGGCCGAAGAAGTGCCTGGCTGAAATGCCGAAGAAGTGCCTCGCTGAAAGGCCGAAGAAGTGCCTGGCTGAAAGGCAGAAGAAGTGCCTGGCTGAAACTGCGTCTGGAAGGTCGGAGTAGGTCGGACGGGCTGTGAGTGTGTCGAACAGACTGTACTCGCTGTCGATCTGAAATCCTCACTGGGTGAGGTACGTCGCGTTGATCACGTCGTTGTCTCCTCCTAGGCTCCTGCCTGAATTGTGGCTCTGGCACGCCCCAGCCCGGTGTCGGATCCGTACGCTCCGGCCATATGGCAAGGCTATGCTCAGTAGGATACCGTTGTACAGGTACTGACACATCAGGCTCTGTCAGCTGATCAGCGGACGTTCCTCCATTCCGTACTCCATCACGTAAACTCAGCTCAACGTACTCCATGATGTCGTACTGAAAATTAAATTTAAAATATCAGAGATTCCACACAATTACGAATTTCAAAACAAATAAAACATAAATACGAAACAATCAATAACTAACCACTGCGTTCATTACAGCTCCTCCCCGGGTGATTGCACGTCTGGTAACATCTCGATACCACTCCAGATACTCCGAGTGGTAGGCTAAAGTCTCCTCACTGAATGGCATAGTCGCTATATACTCATGCCGACGGCTCCACAAATCAAGAGACTCTATGTAGACGTGTAGCAACTGCTGCCCACGCGATGACCCACGAGTTGTCTGCCGAAGGAAATATCTAATCTCAAACTCACTATGTGGCTGATGAGGCACATTCTGCAGCATGCCAAACTGTCGGAGCACTCGATCTGGATAGTGCCACATCACCGCTGAAAAGCATATCAGTGGAACTAATGCGCGAAACGTATCTGATCGAATCACACTAACTCTGAACTGCTCGTCTCTCGCTGAGTAAGGACACCACTACACACAAAAAGTTGTCACATGATTACTCATTAATCTAAAACAAACCAATGAAAACTATTATATAATGAAATGTTATATACTAACCACAATGGTCGACAGCTCGTCAAAAAACAACTTGTACTGGTATAACTCGTTTCCGTGCTGACGTGTGTTGGCTGGAAGCCATCGAGCACCACGTGGGTATGTGTCCACGGTAATAGGCTCCATCGTCTCTGTATGTCGTAGTGTTATCTGTGGAAATCGCTCCCACACCCAGAGCTGCAGTAAGGGGACCCATCCACCAAGGTCACCTCCCAGGGAAGAGGACTGCGTCATGAGCAGAACCGACATACCCATCTCACGGTACAGGTAGGCTAAAACAGCTGCTCCCCAGGCGAACCGTCCAGCTCTCTGCCAATCCTCCACCAAGAGTAGGTACTGTAGATGAACCATACCTCCAGACCGATCGGGAAACAATACACCTCCCATCAGATATAGAGCATAAGCTCGTGCATACTGCTGTGTAGTCTCTGATGATGCGTTTGCCGGCAGACGATTGAATTCATCCCTTAGCCAACTAATCCTCACAGCACCGCGGGAAACTTCAGTAGGACTCTGTCCTAACAGTCTCACACACATCGCCGACCACTCCTCATCTGGTATGTCTACTATGACGGGATCACCGTCGATCGGTAGACCAGTTAGTGTCGCAACGTCCTCTAAGGTGATCGTAACCTCACCAAACGGCAAGTGAAAGGTCGATGTCTCGGGTCTCCAACGCTACGAGCGCAGTGATCAAACATGAATCAGCAGTCATAGGGACCAATTGCTGAACACTAAACAAGCCAGCCTCGATGACGTACGTCCGATAATGAGGATGGTACGTGACTATACGGGTCGTACCTCGAATATGATAAGGTCGATCGCCAGCCTATAATGCACAAAACTTACATTAATTCAATTTCATGCGTAATTCTAATTTCAGTTCACCTAGTAAAATCTATCTAATCATAACATCTATCTAGTATAAACGTGTACTAATTTAAAAAAAAAATCTATACGTAATTCTAATTTCAATTCACCTAGTAAAAATCTAAACATCTAATCTAACTAGCTAATGAGCTTTAAAAAAATTGTTATGAAAGACTTACCTCGTTTTGCCAAACTGTATCGGCACGATGTTGACCATGTGCCCAAAGAAGTACCGAATCAATCGGAGATGTATCAATTGTCGTAGGTGGTGGTCTCATGGAATAAGGGTCTATAAGTCTAGGAACTAAAAAAACATCAAACAAAACAAAACAAAAAAACAGATTAGTAATAATTAATAAACATTCCGCCGCAGCCGAGAATCTGGCCATCGCCGGCAAAAATCGTTACCTCGGTATCGGCCGGCTACGGCGCCGCGAGCTCGCCGCCCTCTCCCTCTTCCTCTGCCGGCGACCACTTCCTCTTCGCCGCCGGAATGGTCGGAGTCAGACATCCTTCCGCCGAAACCAGATCTGGTTCTGGAGCAGCTCCGCGTGAGTGAGGGAAAGAGAAAATAGGAAGAAAGATATGCGGATCCGCTTGAGTGATGGTAGTAGGAGTAGGAAGATTTTGGCAGATCCGCGTGTGAATTTGGTGGAAGCAGAGAGAAGGTTCTGCGGAAACGGAGAAGAAGGAGATGAAGAAGAAGAAGGTGTTGTTTTGAATCTCTGCTGTGAGGGGTTGGGGAAAACGAAACGAAATAAAACAGGGGAAGCTAGCGAGCACGCTTGAGACTGGGGCGGGACCGCCGTTTCCTTAACTTGAGAGAAGTAATTAGCCCTTTGAATACAAAAACCAAAGTCCTAATTTCAGTTTCCTTTTCAGATCTTTATGTTCTTTCTCACTCTTTAATGAACAGTGCTCTTACTAGATATATCATTGAAAACAATCACCCATATAACGATTTTTACAAAAAGGGCAGAATTCTGTTACAAGACAAGAGGTTATTGAAGGTTAATCTTGAGCTGATGGGGATTCTACATGCTCGAAAGGTTTTCTCGTTCATTGATCGCATCACGTCGTTGAATTGTTCGGTGATAAATCCGACTAATTAATCGATATTGTTTGCGAGCGTTAACTTTGTTGCGATCAAATGAAGGAGAGAGCTTTCGAGCATGCAAAAGTGTTGAGAGCTATTTTGTTTTGTTTTCCAACTTAAGCTCTGCTCTTTTTGTTCATCCTCTTCCCAACCTAAACTCAGTTCTCTTCCAGCTTTAAATAGAAACCAGCCAAGCTCTTGAGGTCCCCTACAAGTTCCAGAACAGAGCACACTGCATGAGACAAAAGGATGGTTTCTTTTCTTTGGAGAGGAAAGGCAGAGACAAAAGAGACAAAAGGAAAAAGAATTGTTAATGAAACATATCTTGTAATGTAACTTTCAACACCTCTCATTCTCACCATTTTGGCCATCTTCCCAAACGAGATATTAGTAAGGAACCAGTAGATAAGTTAAAAAATTGTTAATTGCCCTTGATTTGGACTTGACAATTGGGTCGTCTTTGGTTTGGGGAATCTGCTTTCTCTCACTGGATTGGATTCTTCTGCTTATCTTTTTCTTCATTTCAACAGCTTCAATGGCCAATGAGATAACTCAAGCAGTGATTCCTTTCCTAGTAAGCCACTCGTTAAAACACCAGTTTCTCCAATAGGAGGGGACTACCCATAACTTGATAACGACTAAACATCCCAATTACTCTTTGGCAGCAACCCCTTTTAGGGCTGGCTTTTGAATGTTGCATTGTGGATAGAATATATGAACATGGGCATGCCTCATATCTCCTTAACAATGGATTGTCTAATTTCCTGTGCTTTCTAAATTCGTCGTTCACTTAATGTACCCGTGTTATGTTTCGAAATAGTACGAATTACATAATTGACATTTGCATTAGCTTAGTTATTGACCATTATCGACATCACATTTCATCGAATCAAATTATCATTTTCGTACAAAATCGTTCACTAGACGCCTGCCCAACATAATCCGCGGTAATCCACCCAAATACCTCGTTAATCCGAATCTAATTGTTACCCTTTGTTCTCACCCCTACCATTCCTCATTGGAGCAAAAGTGGTACAAGTCTACCAACGACAAAACAAACCAAGGAATATGATTCCTACCGCAACCAGACCAAACCAGGACCTCTGTTACAAAGTTATATTGTGCAATGTCCTTTGGAACTCAAAGCCCAAATAATCAAGAAAAGAGTGTTTGTATCAAGCAAACGACAGAAATACAGAAAGTCGAAACCAGAAAATCTGATAGAGATGGGACGACCCATTTAGGAATAGAGCTGTGCTGGCTACTATTGCAGAAGAAGCCTCCCTCTCTCTCTCTCTCTCTCTGCCTCTGGCTCTCTGCCCATTAGAAAAGAGAAGAACCCTTTTCCTCTTTTTTGTTTTCATTTTCTTCCCTTTCTGTGCTTTCCTTTTCTCGGGCTAGTAAAATGGTAACTGATAGAATTTGAGCATCCCAATGTACTTACCTAAAAGCAGCAACAATATGACTGTTTCCTTCCTCCTCCCGCTTCTCAATTACCACAGCTTCTTCTTCTTATTATTTGCTTTGGTTTAGGCTCTCTCTCTTTCCCGGTCTCTTTTACTTTACTCTCCTTCTTAAAGGTTCGACCTTTTTCTCCATTGACCCACCGATCAACCCCAAATTCCAACACTTTCCGCCTCATCTCGTCAAACTCAGACCCGGGTCCTGAGTTTTGAGTCCTTTCCGCAAATGGGTTTGGCTGGGAAGATGGAATCGGTGAACAGTTTCAGCAGAAAGAAATGCAGGAGCTTGTTCTGGAGGGCGAGAGCTGCGGTGAAGAAAGCAATGAAGAGTAGATGGGGGAATCAACATGGAAAGAAGTTCCAGTATGATCCGTCGAGCTACGCCCTGAATTTCGACGACAGTTGCCGCCGGTTCTCCTCCTCCACCGCGGCCGCTGAAATTGTGTATTGCTACCCTTTGAAGGTTGCCGGGAACAATGTCAATGGCAACAGCAACTTTACCGTCTGGGTTTACATTGTTTGGGTAGAACCTTTGAGTTCTTAGATGAATTTGGCAGTTAAATCTTTTTTGTAGGGGTTTCTTTAGGCGTTGAACTCGCCGGAGTTATGTTATTTTGGTCGGTAAAACTTGGTCCGGTGTACAATTGCAACGATATCCTTTTTTCTTGCTGTGGTCTCTGACTATCTTTTTTGGCAATTAATTAACTGCAGAGATTGTCGTTTTATCAGGAAGCATTGAATTGTCTCCGTTGGGCTAGGCAAAAAAAATTAAAAAAAGAAGCTCCACCGATTACTGAACTCGCAATAAATCAATTCCCAGCCAGAAATTCAACTGATTTATTTATATGAATATGATGTTCTGCCACCGGCAGCCCAAAGGAATAAAAAGGTAGCAGAGCAACAGTGCAGTTCATTTAATGCAGAACGAGCTCCCCCCCACCAATTATGCTTTATCTATGTAGAGGTGTCTAACGAACAAACATTGAAGCTTGTCCAACCAGCCGACCTTTAACAGCAAAAGTTATGTGCTATAATCTGCAAGTGGGTTGGTTTGTGCATTTGATATACAGAGACACTTTTGATAAGGAGCCCTCTTCTGCAGCGAAGACGAACTCCAAACACCATGGCTGGTTGATCGATCATTACAGATTTTCTTCGTTACGAGCATCAAGCAGAGTTTACCATCTGACTGGCCTATATAGACGTGAAAGGAAGCAGAGATTGTACAAACAAATTTCAATTGTCACAAACGATTACACGGATGAACATTTCCACGAAGAAGATGAAAAGAAGAGAGTATTCCACAAGCGCTAAACAGTAGTGTGTCGTAGTTTCCTCTTGGACTTCTTCAGGTGAAAAAAAAGAGAATAGTACAATTGCTGGGATGCTTCTTTCCCAAGCTTTCTCTATACGCTCAATATCTCCTCAAGTGTTTGGAACATAAGGGTCTATATCAAACTGCAGATTCTTCCAGCGTGGCAGTAGACAAGTCGTTTATTCGTGGATAGATGGCCTTCTGATCTAGTTCCCTTTGTGCCCATATCAACATTTTCAACAAAGTTGGGATCTTTGGTTCTGTAATGTACCAAATCACAAAACATTATTATATCACTACCATGTTAAGTATAGTAAGCACAGAGTACGCAGTCATCTAATCCCTCCACTAAGTTCATGACCTGAGAGATCTAACAACCCAGAATCAGAAAAATATAACGGTTACCTTTTTCATGACTCTGGCTGGTAAGAATAGCTGCATTGACCTCACTTGCTGTTTTTAACCGCTGAGAGATATCGAGAAGTTCTCCAACGGGACAGTTTGCCACATCTTCAAAAGCCAGCAGTGATACAGTTCTCTCGAGCTCTTCCAGAAAGCCTTGCTGTGGAATATTTTATTATTGTGTAAATTTGATCAAATCTCACAAGGCAACAAGCATGTTGTAGAAAATATCAACATAGGCATGAGGGTCATGATTTAAGAATTTACATCTTCTTCTCCTCTTGGTGCTAGCTCTTCCTGTGCAAACTCCAAGGCTTCTTCTGTTTTGCCATTTCGGATAAGTTCGATAAGCCTTTGCTGTTGAAGATGGAAGAAGAGTTGGGGATTTGTGTCCAGTATCTGCAAAGAATTAACATTATGCAAGTCAAAGATCAGAGGGAGAAGCATGTGATAGTAACTGGACAGAGTAACATGTAAGCTTGTTACAGCAACTCTGAGAAACTAGAAACTATGCACCTCATCTATCTGGCCGACTGTGATTTCATCTCCGAACTAACCAATCAATATTATCCACATAGGGGATTCAGTAAATCCTAGCCAACCAAGCCACTTTTTAACTGGATTAACAGGTATTGGGAGAAAACAGATGACAAATTTGTTCCATAATAAGAAATGCCAGTTCATACGGTCCAAAGGATTCTTATTCCAATATTACAGCACAGTTGCGACTTGCAGTATTAGTGACTCGTTTTGGCAAGAAGATTATAAGCTGATTGAACGTCAATGCAAGGGACAAACTTTGGATTTAGCCAAATTCTAAGCATCAGGGAGGGATTGGATCAGCCACTATGCATATTCTTTTGACATATGAGGATCAAATATATAAACTAAAGCGAAATTGGAAAGCAATTGCGTTTGAGAACAGCAAAGCAGTTGGACATTCGTACCTCAGGGTTCAGATCATTAACCTTCACAATTGCGTCCTCAACATTCCCACACTGCACCGCTTTCTTAACAGCCATGCGATCAATGATAGTTCCGAGATCTATTCCTGCTGTTTCTCAGTTAAGGAACAAAACAACATCTAAAATATACCTCTGCATATCAAAATAACAGCCATTACAGGAGACAAAATCAGCAACAGTATACAAACAATATAGAGAGGATACTTTCTGTCCCGGACTCCCTCTGGAACTTCTCAGCAGCTTCAACATAACCTTCAGTGACAAAGAAGTTCATCACCAACCTATTCATATCTTCTTTCTGTATTTTCACATCATTCAGCTTCTTTTCCCACTCGACACTTGAGATCATCTTTTTTGACTCACCCTGCAACCACAAAACAGAGACGAACATAGTCATATAGCAATATAGCAGATCATCATGGAAATTATTCCACCAACAGCAGATTACCAGGAAAATTTCAAGAGTTAGAGCGACGGGATAATAATCAAAACACTTAAGAATCAGAATCTTTTCTTTATTCCCACTACCACCCACTAGCTCAGTTCCCTCCAGAAATCAGCAAGTAAGGAAAAGGCAAGAACTTTCAAGATTATCCAATTCCACAATTATCCAAATCGATAATCATCCCATAAAAGGAAACAAAAGAATCAAACACCACCAAAACCGTACAGAAATAGGAACTCAAAATCCCAAATAGAGGCCTCACAACTGTTCTTGCCATCTCTTCAATGTCCGCAAGATGACGAAGCACAATCCAGACCAGTGACATCAGTGCTGAAGAACCACCATCAAGCCCATGAGAGAGAGTCGCTCCAAACTGCAAAACCAAACAAACCAAGTCGGAGAAACCACTTCAATTCAGCTCTCAACAGGCGAGAAGATGACGATGATAAAAAAGGAAACCGCCATCGCTGCATTCAACAGAAAAGAATCTCGTATGGAAATTCCCGTAAGCTCACCGAAGACTAGCGCAAAACCCTAGCTCTCTCCTTCGCGTCTCAAAAGGTTTCGGGTGAGCGGAAGTAAGCCTCGGCGGAAATGGAGGAAGAGGAGATGCTAGTCAATTTTCCGGGCGATTGATCTTTTTTAGGAGGATGAGTAATCGGCCGGTAAGGGGAAATTATTTATGATCAGCGATCTACACTCCTCCGGCCAACTACCAGAATCCCGAAGTGCTAGTTGGCAGCCGTGAACCTTTTTGCTCATGGGTTGGGCCGTATGTTTCTTAAATTTGGGCTTATGGAGATTCTGGTCAACGATATTACTAGGCCGGAATGCTTGAAACATAGGTGATAGGGCCTTCTTTGCGCCTTAAATGAAGGCCACGGCCCAGTTGGTGAACTTAATTATACTTCTCGTCTTTTTCATCATATCGTTTTCTAATCTATCTACACAATAAATAAAAGTCAAATGAGAAAACTTGAAGTCTCATTTCAAATTTCCTGCATCTAGAGTGAAAATAGGAAGGACATTTTGGTCTTCACAATTAATAAAAGTCAAATGAGAAAAATTGAAGTCTCATTTCAAATTTCCTGCATCCAGAGTGAAAATAGGAAGAACATTTTGGTCTTCACAATTATTTTTCTTTTATTCATTAAAAAGACACTTACTAGGATTCGAACCATGACCATTTTAAAGAAAAGCAAAAACCATAACCAATCACACTAAGTATATTTGTTGTATCTTTTTAAATTAAAAACATATAATCGCAGAGAGGAAAAAACCTTTCCCCCATTTCAAATTCCCTACTCCCGGAGAGTTTGTAGGAAGGGTAGAATAGGGAGCGTCAATTTTTTTCTTTTTCCTCTGTGGAACAGGCCAACTTACCTACACATGTGGATTTTAAACGGGTCCAGGAGTGTCAATTTTTTTTTTAAGTCCTTTTATTTCTCCGTGGTGGTAAAATATATATGAAAAGGCAAAAACAATACTCCTTTTTATTGCTAAAAAGAACAAAAAAATTTAACAATAAACTAATGCACGGATTCTAATGGGCTAACCGCTAATCATAAAATAAAAGAGTTGAATGAGCCTGACTTACACGGGATTTGCCCATCAAGTAAAACAAATGAACATCATGGGTTTGCCATTCTAAAACAAGTTATTTTCTCTAGCATAATATATATTATGCTATTATTTTATATCTTAGTGGCTAAAATATAATGTATTTTAAAGTTATTCAATGGTTCAACCTCGACCAACCCAATTAGTCCAATTTTTATCATTTCAAATATATATTATGTAATTATTTGATATCATAATGATTAAATTATATTGTATATTATAGGGAATCGTTTGGTATTTGTTAGTAAAAAACTAAACATAAAGGTCTATTTGGTTATTTTTAACATTAAAACGATCCTAAACATTTTCAGTTTCCTTTCGAAATTCTATAGTTTTATTCCCGAATCAGTGATGTGCAAATGGCGAATTGCAGTCATCTCTTTTCTTTCATTATTTTTATTTTCAAATAGAAAGTTTAAAAGTAAAGAATAATTAGAGTTTGGCATGGGTCGGTCAAACATACTGAATTTCAAGTTTAGGCCCGTTTTGATCAAGTCTAATTTATAATCACATGGTTCCCTGATACCCGATAAAAATCTCAATCCAAACCAGTTTGGCAGGTGAGTCCGTGTTTACCACCAATTTCTAGGAATACAGGAACGGTGGTTCCTATCCCAAATCGTGTTGTTCATTGTTGATTTATTTAGATTTTATCATGGCTTGGCAAAAAACTAGAAAACACAATGACGACAAGATGAAAATTTTATAAAGCAAATTAATCGGCCAACGGGCCGAGTAAAAGCTAGCAACGATTGTGAGATGCTCATTTCCCGAAAACCGGCGGGATAAGCGATTTTTTATTCGATTTTCTGGAATTCGATTTCTATAAAACTTACTCAACCTCATCATATTACCATATACATTACTAGCTTTTTACCCGGCCCGTTGGCCGGTGAGTTTCATTTTATCATTTACATTAATCAATTTATCTATATGTTTAAATTATTTTGGATCTTCTAAATTTTTTACATTTGCATTCATATGTGAGTATGCAGTGCGTCTATAAATTAAAAATTCTCAATACTTAGCACATTCACTTATAATGTTTCGACTATCTGATCATAAATCATGTCACAAAGATATATCACGTCCCATATAGAATCTTATGTCAAGATTTGCCAACAACGATACTCAATTTTTTTTTTATCTTGTACAATATATGTCATTCAATGAATCTCGAATTTGGACGAACTCTTAACCAATAGGGGTGGCTATACGGTCCGGTCCGGTTAAATTGGCCCAAATTGATCCGGTCCGGTCCGATCTTTTTGAAAATATAAGGACCGAAGATTGGATTGGATACAGTCCGGTCTTGATCCGGTCCGGTTTTGATCCGGTCCGGTCCCAATTCGGTCTTGATTTTACATTGAGATTGTGGGATTTGAGTGGCCTAAGGCCTTAAAGGGTGAGGAGTTGGTTAAGTTTTGTACTAAGTGCAAAGGTTTGTGACCGTTTATGCAAATTACCCTTAAGTTTTGGGTGTTGAGCTCTCTTATCCGGTCTTTATCCGGTTTTTTACCTCAAATCTAAGCCCAAAGATTGGATTGGATTGTTTACTATCCGGTCCCGGTCCGGTCTCGGTCCGGGTGGTTTCCGGTTTTTAATCCGGTCCCGGTCCAAATAGCCACCCCTATTAACCAATGATGTTGCTCAGATGACGACAACTTAGTTAGAATTTTTTTATAAAGGTACTTCAATATCAGATAAATTTGGTCATCCCAATTGAAAGTTTACTATCTTAGTTTATGATCATATTTGTCGATCAAGACACTCAATTTAATATCTTATACAATATGTATCAATTGTTAATACCTAAAGTTTAATTTTTGACTCACCCTCAACTCATGGTCGTTGTTTAGATGTTGGTTTAGAATCTCGGTCCAAGAGACTCACACACTGTCGAGGGTTCTAATCTTAACATGGTCCATTAGTGTATAATTTTCTAACTTATCAAATATGCATTTGCTAAAATTTATTTATCTTTGGTGTTTGTTTTGGGATAAAAATTTCATTACTTATACTAATATCTTCATTTTATTGGTGCAGTGCCACATCCCTAATCAATATCTAAGCATGATACTATACTCTAAGTAAGAAAACGCTATCAGTATCACGAATTAACCTGATTTGTGGGCATGATACTATACTCTAACCCTTGATAAGTGAACCCGAGGTCTTAGTTATCTAAATCATAGAGCTTAACCCCTAAGATTGTGAAGGTAATTTGTTGCATATATTTTTTCGAATCATGACCGTTGATTTTTGTTTATAATTAAACTTATCTTAGACTAACTCCAACCCAAATGTGCATTTTTAGCCTCTCAAACTCTCAAATGTGCATTTTTACCTCCCAAAACACTTTTTTGCTCCAACCCTAAACCTTCTAAATTTGCCTTCCCAACTCATAACCAACCAATCAAAAATTAAGAAAGTAAAAAAAAAAAAAAACTGCTGGAAAGTGGACGGCCCCACCGTGCCCCTGCATGTGGGCTTTGGCTGCCGCATGGTCCCCACCTTCTCCTTGCATTTTTCCATTTGGCTGTCATCTATCCACTCCCATGCCCACTTCTCCAAATTTGCAAGCCAATTTTTATGTGGGTTGGAGAGGAAAAAGTGGGAAAACATCCATTTCTCCAAATTTGCATCCTTGGGTTGGAGTTAGTCTTAGTGTATGAGATTTATAAATTTAAGACCTAGATTTTAATCTTTAAGGCTTTGAGAATAATACCATATGTCAAACTCTAGTCAATTCAATGTCTATATATCGTTTTCTTACTCAAGGTATGTCATAATATACATATACAAATATAAAGAGTTTAATATATTTTAAGTGTAATTAACACCTTTGTTTGACCGAAATATGTAAACTGTTCAGAAAAATAAGGGAAATATGAACAAATGTAAGAGAAAATAAGGTGTGGAAACATGCATTATGAGAGAGAAGAAAAGTTGTATTTCTTTATCGCCTTCATTTGTACAATCAGATACTACATTATGGCTTCGTCATGTTTCTATTAAAATGAAAAAAAAACAACTTTTGAAGTATTTTGCTATTTAATACTTGTTTTTGTTGATAGATACAAATATTAGAAAAAGATAGTGTTTGTTAACCAAAACATAAAATTATATAGTTGGTTTTTCAAATTCAATTGATTATTAAATGTTGATTATCTAAACTTCACTATATTAAGTTCTAATAAAAATAAAAATTAATTGATCAGATTTAATAAAATATTATTTTTTTAAATTACAATATATGTCACTCTCCAAACGTAAGTATACTGCTGCTACACATATATATTGCAAAAATATTATTGAATAAAAAAAGAAAAAATTAAAAGAAGATAGAGATAGCTACATAAATGATCATTAAAATAAAAGAAAAATATTTAAAGAAGATAGATATAACTACACTAATTGATCATTAATTAACTTTTTTGTTTGTAAAAAAGAGTGTCCACCATGGCACCTTGTAAATTCTCCAAATGCTTATGTGGCAACAAACTACTTTTGAATTGCCATAATATTATGTATAGATAGATTGTTTCACAAGGTAACAGGTACTTGATTTTGGTTCATAAGGTTGATTTTTGATTCGTTACATCATTCATGTCTCTTTTCTACTAAAATTCACTATTTTTATCACGTGTTTCCCACAAAAAAAATCATACAACAATAAGCTATACACCCCATTACATTATCAAA